ACAAAGGAAGTCAGGTTATTGACTTGCCCACTTCAACTTTTGAGGGCTTATGATACAGAGAATTAAGACATAGTAAACAGCTACAATTAATACAAAGTTGAAAGTTTGAAAGCTAAAAGATATATATGACAATCATCAGACCCTATGCATCCGAGCAAAAGAAGGGTCATTTACCACCATACCTTCTCCAAAATGTTCATGCTTACAGGAAAACATTTATTTTTGTCTCTGGTGGTACTGTATTCACAATAGTTCTGCCAACACAAATGCATTTTTCTAAAGTTATCTCATAGCACATGACTGTACAGGTCAAGTGGAAGGTTCCTGCATGGGGACTAACATTTCAATTACCTCAGCAAACTATAATCATCAGAATTGCAAGCCATGGTGTATTAACCGAGTGCTAAAGTTTCCAAATTAGTTACCTAATTCTTACAGTGGATTTCAATCCTTTTTTAGGCTATCTTCAGCTTGATCATCCTGTTAATCAAATGTTACTCACATATTAAAATAATTACCTGAATCAAAAGTTATAATTTTTTTTAATAACCTGCTAACTTTAATTGTGATCCAGGAATAGTAAATGGTATTGAAGAGAAAGGAAAAGTGTTCTTGAAACATTCCATGTTAAATGAAATTTTGTAATGAATGTTAATTGTGATTACAACAAAAACATCTGTGAAGCTATAACAATAACCTTTCCAGGTAACAGACCATAATGAACCATGATATGAATAAATTTAATCTCACCCAGTCTGAATGTAGAATCCGAAATCTAATTAACTTACTGGTGAATAGGAAAAAGCTCAATGTGTTTTTCCTGCCTCTGTCATTCTAAATATCACAAATCAATCATGCCACCACTTCAGTGTGATTTTTTTTAATGATGTGTGCTTTTTCTTATGAACAGCTATTTTAAGTATATATCTTGTCGAGCGGAAATCTGAGAAGAATGAAGTGTACACTGGAAATTTGACACATTGCAGGCAAACACTACAACTGATTAACCCTTTAACTCCAATGAGTGACCAAGGCAGAATTTCTCCTAACAATATCAATACAATATCAATCAGATAAGTGATGAGAATAAAGAAAAATATAAACTTGAGAATAATTGGTTGATCCAATACTAAATTCTTAGAACTAACACTATAAGAATTGTATAGTTGACAGTAAGGAGAATTAAAAATTTGAACTGAGAGTTAAAGGGTTAAATTTTATTTGATCAAAAACATGAATGGCAATAGAGGAAATTAACTAGCACAATTCAAGTTTCCCCTCTTTAAGTATTCTGTGATAGTTTTCTATCACATTGTAAAGTTTACAGTTTCCCTCATTTCACTGTCTTTTGTTCACTAGTTTGTTTGCTTTCCTAACAATCCTAGCTATTGTTGCCAAAAAATGTGAGGAGCATATACATGAAAATGTGTACAGCTAATAACACTTTAATCCCTGAGAGTGACTAGCATCTAATGTCTCCATTCAATATCACCCCTGAGTCACACATTAAGGTAAATGATAATCAACTGAAGAACCTCTTGATTGTTAAACAAATTCTCCTTGCAAGCACATAAGGAAATATATAGAGAACGGTTTGAAGAATATGCATTCTGATATTGGAGTGTAAAGGGTTAAAGACATCATGTAATCAGTTATATATATGTACAGTACTGCTTGAATATATGACTGCATTAAGTACAAATGCTTAGTAAACATCATTCTGTGGTCTTCTACTCTTCCACCCTGAAGGTTACCTTGTGTGATGAACCGGCGTTCTGCGCCTCGAGCTACTCTTACGCATTTTTCGTGCTCTCCAAACTTCCCGCGTGCATCCATAACCTGATATACGCACGCTAAGCATGAAAAAATTCTTAAATATCCAAACAATTGCGTTTACGTTGCTTTACGTTGTGCGTTCATGGAGACATGGAGCGCGTGGAAAGTTTTGAGATCACTCAAGAAGCTACTCTTGCTCTAGGCGACGCCTCGAGAAACTTCTCTGTCGCTATCTAAACTTCCCGTATGTCGGCCATGATCGCACGCCAACGTATAAACCAATTTTTAATTCAAAGTGACAGCATGGTTAACTAGTTGATACCCTGTATAGAACATGGAGATATCAGATGTTGGAAGAAAATATCGTGAAAAGGAATAGATTGAATCAACGGTTTTTTGTATCTCTGCTTCAATAAGCTTGTGGAGTGATGGTCTTGAATCTGTTCATGGGCGCACAGCTGTCTTGAGGTTGCGACGTTTGAGAGTCGTGTAGCCGAACTAAAACTGTGTGTACCTGATCTCTGATCTAGAAATATGTCCTCGTATATCCAACGTTTTATTAACACGACACAGATATCAATTCTGCACCTATAAAGTCATTTCAATCTGGTTCTAAGATTTCTTTTATTTACAAGACCGCTGCATCTGCATTGCTGGAATCCCTTCAGAAGAAAACGGAGCTGCTAAGAATATTCCTAAATGCGAGTGGTAACTTGACCTTCGC